GATTAAAGAAAGCGTACAGTAAAATAAAAAATTTATCCCCCCGCGGTGAATTCCCTAAACGTATTCAACCTGCAACGCATTCCGGGGGGATAAAATCAAACACCCGGCCCTGTGGTTCCGTCCGGGATCGAACCGGAGACCTTTCGCGGGGAAGCGGGAAAGTGATAACCACTACACTACGGAACCGTACAAGAGGAACAAAAAACGTCTTGAATTTTAAAGGGGCTTATTTAAAGCTTGTACAATAAATTTGGTATCATTGTCAAAATATATTATGCACGTGATTAAAGAAAGCGTACAGTAAAAATAAGAATTATCCCCTCGCGTGAATTCCATAGCGTAAATTTAACCTGCAAAAGGGATTTGGTAAAATCAAAAACCCCCGGCGGGGGTTCCGTCCGGGGTCGAAAGGGGGACCTTTCGCGTGAAGCGAACGTGATAACCCCCTACACTACGGAACCGCACAAGGGGGAAAAGAACGTCTTGAATTAAAAAAGGGGGTTAAAGTAAAAACTTGTACAATAAATTAGATATCATTGTCCTTTTATATTATGCACGGATTTAAAAAAAGCGTACAGTAAAAAAAAGAATTTTTCCCTCGCGTGAATTTAAAAGCGTATTCCCAAACCCGCAACGCATTCCGTGGGGTAAAAACAAACCCCGGCGTGTGGTTCCGTCCGGGGTCGAACCGGAGACCTTTCGCGTGTGAAGCCCCAACGTGATAACCACTACAATTCGGGAAACCCCACAAAAGGGAAAAGAACGTCTTGGGTTGAGACTTATTTAAAAACTTGTACAATAAATTAGATATCATTTTTCATATATATTATGCTCTGATTAAAAAACGTACAGTAAAAAAAATTATCCTCGCGTGAAATTTCCGCGTATTCAACCGCCGGGATTCCGTGGGATAAAATCAAGCACTCCGGCGTGTGGTTCCGTCCGGGGTCGAAAGGAACCTTTCCGTGTGAAGGAACGTGATAACCTCTACACTACGGAACCGCACAAAAGGAACAGAACGTCTTGAATTAAAAGACTTATTTAAAAACTTTACAATAAATTAGATATCATTGTCATATATATTATGCCGTGATTAAAAAAACGTACAGTAAAAAACCCAAAAAATTTTCCCCCCGCGTGAATTCCATAGCGTATTCAACCTTCAACCCCATTCCGTGGGATAAAAAAAACCTCCGGCGTGTGGTTCCGTCCGGGGGTCAACCGGAACCTTTTTGCGGTAAAACCCCAAGCATTTAAACCCCTACACTACGGAACCGCCCCAAGAGGAACAGAACGTCTTGAATTAAAGAGACTTTTTTTAAAAACTTGTACAAAAATTAAAATATCATTGTCCATATATATTATGCACGTGATTAAAAAAACGTACAGTAAAATAAAAAATTATCCCCCCGCGTGAATTCCATAGCGTATTCAACCGTCAACATCAAAATTTCCCTGGGGGTAAAAACAAACCTCCGGCGGGTGGTTCCGTCCGGGGTCGAAACCGGGGACCTTTGCGTGTGAAGCGAACGTGATAAACCACTACACTACGGGAACCCCACAAAAAGGGGAAAAGAACGGGCTTGAATTAAAAGACTTTTTTTAAAAACTTGTACAATAAAAATTGGGGGTCATTGTCATATTTTATTATGCACGTGATTAAAGAAAGCGTACAGTAAAAATAAAAATTATCCCATCGCGTGAATTCCATAGCGTATTCAAACGTCAACATCATTCCGTGGGATAAAAACAAAACCCGGGGTGTGGTTTCCCTCCGGGATCGAACCGGGGACCTTTTCCCTGTGGGGAACTTTTAAACCCCTAAATACGGAACCCCACAAGAGGGAAAAGAACGTCTTGAATTAAAGGGGGCTTATTTAAAGCTTGTACAATAAATTGTAATTTTTTTCAAAATATTCTTTCACGTATTTAAAAAACGTACAGTAAAAAAAAAAATTATCCCCCGCGTAATTCCCCAAAACGTATTCAAAACCCTCAACATCATTCCGGGGGTAAAAATTTAAAACTCCGGCGTGTGGTTCCGTCCGGGATCGAAAGGACCTTTTTGCGTGTGAAGCGGGCGTGTAAACCACTACACTACGGGCCCACAAAAAGGGCAGAACGTCTTGAATTAAAAAAGGGGGTTTTTTAAAGCTTTGTACAATAAATTAGATATCAGGGCATATTAATTTTGCGGGATTAAAGAAAGCGTACAGTAAAAAAAAAATTATCCCCTCGCGTGAATTCCCCAAACGTATTCAACCTCAACATCATTCCGTGGGGTAAAATCAAAACCCCGGCGGTGGTTCCCTCCGGGACGAACCGGGGGACCTTTTTGCGTGTGAAGCGAACGTGATCCACTACAATTTCGGAACCCCACAAAAAGGGAAAGAATATCTTGAATTAAAGAGACTTATTTAAAGCTTGTAACAATAAATTAGATATCATTGTCAAAATATATTATGCACGGGATTAAAGAAAGCGTACAGTAAAAAAAAAAAATTAAAACCCCTCGCGTAAAATTCCGCGTAAAAACCCCCTCAACATCAATTCCTTGGGATTTAAAAACAAACCCGGCGTGTGGTTCCGTCCGGGGTCGAACCGGGGACCTTTGGGGAAGCGAACGTGATAAACCCCTACACCCCGGGAAACCCCACAAAGGGAAAAGAACGTCTTGAATTAAAAAATTTATTTAAAGCGTACAAAAAAATTAGAAAATTGTCATATATATTATGCAATAGATTAAAGAAAGGGGTACAGTAAAAAAAAAAAATTATCCCCCCCGCCCGAAATTTCCCTAGCGTATTCAACCGTCAACATCATTCCTTGGGGTAAAATCAAACACCCGGCGTGGGGGTTCCGTCCGGGGTCGAACCGGAATTTTCGTGGAACGAACTGATAACCCCTACCTTTTCGGAACCCCACAAGAGGAACAGAAACGTTTTTTGGGGGTTTAAAAAGGGGGGTTTTTTAGAAAAAGGGGCCCAAAAAATTGGGTTTATTGTCAATATTTGACGTGATTAAAAAAACCAGTAAAAAAAAGAATTATCCTCGCGTGAATTCCATAGCGTATTCAAAACCCCAAAAAACCCTTCCGTGGGGTAAAATCAAAAAACCCCGGGTTTTTGGGTTTTCCGGGGTCGAACCGGAGACCTTTTTGCGGTAAAACAAAAGGTAACCCTCCCCCGAAAGAGGGGGAAAAGGGCGTTTTTTGAATTAAAGGGCTTTTTTAAAGCTTGTACAATAAAATTTTTCATTTATTATGGGACCCGGGGTTAAAAAAAAGGGACAGTAAAAAAAATTTCCCAGGTGAATTTCCCGGAAACGTATTCAACCGTCAACCCTCTTCCCGGGGTAAAATCAAACCCGGCGTGTTGGGTTTCCCTCCGGGGTCGAAAAACCCGGGGACCTTTCGCGTGTGAAGGAAAAGTGATAACCACTACACTACGGGGAAAAACACAAGAGGAACAGAACGTCTTGAATTAAAGAGACTTATTTAAAATTTTTACAATAAAATTAATATCAGGGCAAAATATTATCACGGGTTAAAGAAAGGTACAGTAAAATAAAGAAATTTTTCCCCCCGCGTGAATTCCATAAACGGGAAATTTAACCTGCAAATTCCCCTGGGGTAAAAAACAAACCTCCGGGCGTGTGGTTCCGTCCGGGATCGAACCGGAGACCTTTCGGGTGAAGCGAACGGGTAAACTACCACGGAAACCCCACAAGGGGAAAAAACGTCTTGAAATTTAAAAAAACTTATTTAAAAACGTACGTAAATTTGATATCTTTTTCCAAAATATTATGCACGTGATTAAAGGGTACAGTAAAAAAAAATTATCCCCCCGGGGGGAAATTTAAAAGGGTTTAATAAAAACGTTCCGGTGGGATTTTAAAACACCAAACCCCCGGGCGTGGTTTCCCTCCGGGTTTAAGGGGGGGACCGCGAAAACCGGAACGCATTAAAACCACCAAACCCCTCGGGGGGAAACCGAAAAAGGGAAAGGAAACCCCTTCCCTTTGGGGGAAAATTAAAAGGACTTAAATTTTAAAGGGAAAAAAAATTTTAAATTAAAAATTTTTTAAATTGTCAAAAAATTAAAATTATTTTCATATTAAAGGGGAAAACGCCCGTAAATAAAAAAATTTTCCCCCCGCGTGAATTCCATGGGGTATTCAACCTGCAAAAAAATTCCGTGGGGTAAAATCAAACACTCCCGGGGGGTGGGTTTCCCTCCGGGATCGAAAACCGGGGACCTTTCGCGGGGAAGCGAACGGGTAACCCTCACACTCCCGGGGAAACCCCACAAGAGGAAAAAAACGTCTTGGGAAATTTAAAAAGACTTATTTAAAACTTGGTACCTAAAAATTGGGTATCATTTGCCAAAATATTTGCACGTGATTAAAAGCCAGTAAAAAAAAAAATTAAACCCCCCGCGTGAAATTCCATAGCGTATTCAACCAACGCATTCCGTGGGGTAAAATCAAACACCCGGCGTGTGGTTCCGTCCCGGGGTCGAAACCGGGGGGAAAAATTTTTGGGGTGAAGGAAAAGTGAAACCCCTACAATTTCGGAAACCCCACAAGAGGGAAAAGAACGTCTTGAATTAAAGAGACTTATTTAAAGTTTTTACAATAAATTAGATATCATTGGCATATATTTAAGGTTTAAAAGAAAACGTACAGTAAAAAAAAAATTATTTCCCCCGCGTGAAATTCCATTGGGGTATTCAACCTGCAAAGCATTCCGTGGGATAAAAACAAACACCCGGCGTGTGGTTCCCCGGGGTCGAACCGGAACCCTTTCCCTGTGAAGGGGAACGTGATAACCACTACACTACGGAACCCAAAAAAGGGGGGAACAGGCGTCTTGTTAAAGGGGCTTATTTAAAGCTTGTACTAAATTAGATATCATTGTCATATATATTATACGTGATTAAAAAAAGGCAGTAAAAAAAAAGAATTATCCCCCGCGTGAAATTCCATAGCTTAAATTTAACCTGCAAAAGCATTCCGGGGGATAAAATCAAACAAATCCCGGGGTGGTGGTTTTCCCTCCGGGATCGAACCGGAGACCTTTTTGTGGGAAACGAACGGATAACCCCCCTACACTAAGGGGAAAAAAAGAGGGAAAAGAACGTCTTTAATTAAAAAAGACTTATTTAAAAAAAGTACAATAAATTAGAAAATCAAATTTTCATATATATTATGCACGTGATTTTAAAAACGAAAGGTAAAAAAAAGAATTTTCCCCCCGTGAATTCCATAGGGGGTAAATTTAACCTGCAAAAAAATTCCGTGGGATAAAATCAAACACTCCGGCGTGTGGTTCCGTCCGGGATCCGAACCGAGGGCCTTTTGCGTGGGGCGAACGTGATAACCACTACAATTTCGGAACCGCCCCAAGAGGAAAGGGAAAGTCTTGGTTAAAGAGACTTATTTAAAGCTTGTACAATAAATTAGATATCATTGTCATATATATTATGCACGTGATTAAAGAAAGCGTACAGTAAAAATAAAAATTATCCCCTCGCGTGAATTCCATAGCGTATTCAACCTGCAACGCATTCCGTGGGATAAAATCAAACACTCCGGCGTGTGGTTCCTGGGATCGAACCGGAGCCCTTTTCCCTGTAACAAACGGATATTTTCCCACTACACTCGGAAACCCAAAAAAGAGGAACAGAACGTCTTGAATTAAAGAGACTTTTTTAAAAAAGCTTGACAATAAATTAGATATCATTGGCATATATATTATGCACGTGATTAAAAGCGACAGTAAAATAAAAATTATCCTCGCGTGAATTCCATAGCGTATTCAACCTGCAACGCATTCCGTGGGATAAAATCAAACACTCCGGCGTGTGGTTCCGTCCGGGATCGAACCGGAGACCTTTCGCGTGTGAAGCGAACGTGATAACCACTACACTACGGAACCGCACAAGAGGAACAGAACGTCTTGAATTAAAGAGACTTATTTAAAGCTTGTACAATAAATTAGATATCATTGTCATATATATTATGCACGTGATTAAAGAAAGCGTACAGTAAAAATAAGAATTATCCCCTCGCGTGAATTCCATAGCGTATTCAACCTGCAACGCATTCCGTGGGATAAAATCAAACACTCCGGCGTGTGGTTCCGTCCGGGATCGAACCGGAGACCTTTCGCGTGTGAAGCGAACGTGATAACCACTACACTACGGAACCGCACAAGAGGAACAGAACGTCTTGAATTAAAGAGACTTATTTAAAGCTTGTACAATAAATTAGATATCATTGTCATATATATTATGCACGTGATTAAAGAAAGCGTACAGTAAAAATAAAAATTATCCCCTCGCGTGAATTCCATAGCGTATTCAACCTGCAACGCAAGCATATCGAAAATAAAAGATTTAAAAAATAATTAATTTACTGGAATGAATTAAAACAAAATACTTTCAGGCATAGTAAAAAATGTACTTTTAGTCTGATATAATTTATAGGCGATATATAAATCATCTCAAAAATAAAAACATCTGCAATACCTAATTAGCTATCTTTGATCCAAAAAACCAAATAAAAAAATTTTATTTTATTTGCTGTAATCTCATGATAAGTGATTTTTACTACTCTTTCACACACACAGAGAAAAAACAAATCCCAGACCCAGAATAGAAAAAATTTAGGAACATAAAAAATTCATCACTGCGATTATTTTTGAAATACTGCACATTATAGCTGTAATCTGTTTTTGCTGATAATCTGTTTGACCTTCTAAGTTATTGGTACAGTTAGTTATGACCCCTCTCTTATATGTGTTTGTTTCTCATTTAGGGAAGTTGTAATGTATTTATTTCTGTGTTGCGCATTTTTTCATGCAAAAGAGTTTTATGATATTTGGAAAATCACGGAGAGCACTTTGGAGGATTACTCGGCCAAGACTTTTAACCCGGAAGTGGTCGCGCGGAACACACAGATCACAGGATCGTTAATTCTGGCAAAAATGTTTATTTGTTACCAAAGAAAAAAATTGAAAAGTTCTGGAAAGTATGTAAGTTTACTTTCTCTTAATTAAATTATTCACTGGAATCACGATTTGTATCGTGTACAATAAAATAATTATATAGATATATATATCCTTTCGCTTTAAATATTAAAAATAATACAATTATTCTTCATCGGAATTTTATATTATTGTTCATTATTTAACATCAATTATAAATGCTAATTCTGTGAGGCTTAAAATTACAATTCGCTTAAAACTGAGTATAATTGGAGCAATCATTTTAAAAATCATTTTACATTTTGTAAACATTGTCACGCACTTGGCTTTACTCTCCTTACAATTCAGCTATTATATCAATAATGTTTTATTTTCTTATAAATGAACTCTTTTAAATATAGCGGGCACTTCAGCCGGTATACTTTTAATGTATCAGTGCTGCGCAGAGTATTTTATAACTAATTAATTAATACTAAATTAAGAACAAGTTTAATAAGTATTAACGACTTCCATGGGGTTGTCTTAGAAAGCCAAGTTATTATAAGGAATGCTTTTGATTAGAAATTGACCCTCTGAGTTCTTTTTCTATATTTAGCTGATATCTATATTTTGTTTTCTAAGCAGCAACCCCTTTTATAATATGTTCAATTTATAAATTAGAGAAAATAAAAATAACATAATAATTATCATATTACTTTAATTTTTGCTTAAAGTAACGTATACAAAATTTATTACTTATGTTATTTATTTGTATGGTTTATAATTAAGATCGCGTATTGTAGCTCTAGCGTCAAAGTCATTATTATTTGCATTATTTTCATTAAA